TATTTTGAGGTGGGATCTCGCTAAATTTCGAGGACTGACCTCAGACTTGCGACTCTCCTGCCTCCCGAATAGCTGGGATTACAGGTATCTGCCATGTCATGTGGCTCCCCCCTCCACCCCCAAGAAGTCAAGTTATCTCTATGTCGCCCAGGCTGGCCTCCAACTCCTTGGGTTTGAAAGATCTTTCTGCTTCAGCTTCCCCATTAGCTGGGCCTACAGGTGCACCGCACTGTTCCAGGTTGGTTCCAAGGTTGAACCCCTGACCCCAGAGTCCACCGTGCACCCCTCGGCCTGAAACCCAGGTTTCAAGCTCTTGAGTGTTTATGGAGGGGCTAGTGCACTCGACGGCTGGGAACAGCCCTGAGCAGTTAAAGGCTGGCTTCACCCCCATTCACCTCGGACCCCAGGATACCTCTGCCAAACTACTTGTCCCAAGGATCTCCGCCCCTCGCCTCGGTTCGATTCCTTGGACTCCCAGCTCCCCTGCCTCCGTCCGGAACCCCTCTACCTACCCCTTGTCTCCTGAGCGCCCGGCCCTCTCTCCGAGAGCCAGGCCACCTCCCCGGCCTGGGCCGGGCCTCTAGGCGGACGCAGCCCCGCGGCAAACTATCCGGGGCCTTCCGAGCCGGCCTCTCGCCTCTAGCCCCGGGTTGCCATGGAGACCGGACGCCATTGTGACGCCCCTTCCGGCTAGCGGGGTGCGGGGCGGCGACTAGAGCACGAGCTTGCGGTGGCCAAAGGGAAGAGGGTTCTCCGCCGCCCAGCGTCCCACGCGGCTGCAGCCGGGGTCGGGGCGAGGGTGGGGGTTGAGGTGGGGGGTTGCGGGGCGCAGCCCCCTACAGCCGGGGTCCGCACGCCTCTGCGCACCGCGTGGCCCGGGGTCCCTGTGCTGCGGAGCCTCTGGGGTGGAGCAGGCGCCTGGAAGCCACCCCGGGCCAGCGGAGCTGGGGAGAGGCGGTGACCCGCAGCGGTGGACGAGCCCTGCGGAGCCGCCCAGCAGTCAGCGGCTCCCTGCGCTCAGGGCCCTTCGACGCTCACGCTTTGCTCTGGGCCTGGAGAAGTGGGGTCTCCACATGTCCAGGGAGCCCCAAGGGAGTTCTCAGGCTCAGCTTTCTGTCTGTACCCCCAAACTGGACTCAGGACCTGTGCGGTCGCCACCCAACACCCCCACAGGGAAGCCAACGGGGTCTCCCCCAGCGGCGCCTGCCTCGAGGGAGCCCCGTCCAGCCCAAGGTCCAAGCCAACTTCTCAAGAGGACGCGGTTCCCAGTCCGCCCAGCCTGTTTGGCGGCCGCAGCCTCCTTAGCTCAGAGGTGACCGCACCCTCGGGAGGTGGTTTTCCTGCCCATCTGCCTGCCCCCCACCCCACCGCCCCGCCTAAGGCAGAGGTCCCAGGAGGGAGGGAGGGAGGGGTGGGTGGGTGTGGTGCGGATTCTGCCCCTGCCTGGGCTCTGGTTCAATAAATGCTAACAGTGGTCTTTGGTTTTGGTTTTGGTTTTGGAATTTCGTTTTGTTTTGCTGAGCCAGGAAGTTACAGTTCTTTCAGCCTTGATGCAAGCTGGCCTTGAACTCACAGTGATCCTCTTGCCTCAGCCTCCCAAGTGCTGGGATTACAGGCTGGTCGTTGTTGATTTAGGGTCTGAGGGATAGAAGCTAGAGTATTTGGACAAAGGGGTACTGTCTGAAGGTCTGGGAGGCGCTGGCACTTGCAAGGGGGGAGTGGGGGGGAAGAAGGAGGGGGAGGCCCTTCCTTGAGGTGTGGGTGGCAGAGCAGCCCCCCTCTCTGAGGCTCCTTGGCCACATCCCAATCCGCCCCACTCTTTTCCTATTCCTACTTTCCCATCTATTTTTAGTCAGACTTCATTGTGAGGTGGGTTCCCATGCAGCTGTGAGGAGTAGCAGATCTGAGGGGCCCTTTCCCCACATCTGAGATGTCCTCCAGCATCTGCAGAGCGGCAACACCAGGACACTGGTACTGACGGACACAGGGCAGGCCCACACCCTTGGAACCCCTCAGTGCCCAGCACGGCCAGCCCACCTGCCAGCCGGCCACTCCTCAGCTTCTGCAGTCACCTCCGCTCCCCCCAGGAGCACTCACAGCCCGGTTTCTGACGTCCGGGCCAGCGTGCCAGTCTCGCCTTTCCATGGCTGACCTGTGCCAGCCCTTGCCAGGGATGGACCAGTTGTTGTCAGCATGCCTGAGCCTGGTGGGCAGTGAGCACTTGGGATCTGCTGAGCCTGTGGACATAGCGTCCCTGGGCCCTGAGGGTGGCACCCCATGGGGCACTGAGGTCCCAGCCCTGGAGGAGGGGGCTCATCCCAGCCATAGAGACGCTTGTAGCTGAGGCCTCCAGACACGGGGCCCAGGGCTCCTGCAGCCAGCTTCAGCCAGGCACCCAGGGCCCACCTCTGCCCGGCTCACCTGGTCGGTGTCCTTCCTGGTGCTGCACTGCTCTTAGGCGGGGAAAGCACGACCCAGGCCCATGGCCCGTGAGTCGTCGATGGGACCAGAGTGGGCCGTCTGACCTGTCTCATGTGATCCTACCATGCCCTCCCCCGCTCTGCAGCCCCGCCTGGCCAGTGGAGGGGAGCTAACGGGGGGGGGGGGTGCTGAGCAGCAGAATCAGAGGGGAGGGGGCATCAAGGCTGCCTGGCAGGGTTCAGGCGCGTAGATGGGTGGAATGAGGGAAGGAGGAGTGTGGCCAGCACCTCCAAAGGGGATGGACTTGGGGAACTCGGGCTGGCTGCTGCGGCACCATCGCCTGGCCTGTGAGTGTGGCAGGCGTGGGCCGGGGTGCGGAGGGAGAGGATGTGGGCCTGGGAGGTGGAGGACGGCAGGTATCAGGACAGAGGGCGAGGCTGGGCAGCACTGTGCAGCTGGAGCTGGGACCGAGGCCTGGCTCAGGGCCTGGGGTACAGGGTGTGGGATGTGGTGCGGGATGTGGGCATTGTGGGGTCAGCTGGGGTGCAGGCTGTGGAGAGTGGAGAGTGGGAGAGGTAAGGTGTAATGGTGCGAGGTGCAGGGTAGGGTATAGGGTCGGGTGGGTAGAGTGAGGGTTGCAGGCAAGGGCAGGGTGAAAGGTCAGGTAAAGTGTAGGTTTGTAGAACCCTCTGGGTTGGAAAGTCTAGGAATGGCCAAGTTGCCTGGGAACTCTGTGGCCTGGGCCTGGGCCTGAAGATCCCCTAGGCCTTTCTCCCTCTTCCCACGTCTGAGGGTTCAGACCTTCCATGCTGGTCACCAGGAAATAGGTGCGCCGCCTTTGGGGGCTGAATCCCTACTGCCCGGCAGATTCCCCTCCCTGCCCTGACCCTGGGGAGGAAGGAGGCAGGAGACCCCTCCACTGTGAGCACTTCTGTGGCATGACAGCAGTTGGGTGAGCCCCCACCCCCACCCCGTCACCGCGGCCCCCTCCTCCCTCTGATTCTGACACACACACCCCTGGCTCCAGCTGCACATGGAATGTGCTGAGTGCCAGAGGCCAGGACCCTCTGGCTTTGCGGGACAGGGGGTATCTGCGGGCAATCTGCATTCAGTGCCCTAATGCCTGACCCCACACAGTCAGCACACGGGAGAGCCTCCCACAGCCAAGCAGGCCTCCCTATGGCTTCTTGGTTGGAGACAGGAACTGGGTTTCCCACCAGGAAGGCAAAACTAGATATAGAGGACTGACGGGCACTGCTGTGCAGAGACGAAGGGTAGACGGCGGGCGAGACGCAGGGCCGGCAGTCAGAGCCTGGAGCCCCTTCCCAGGCTGCGGTTTCACATTTTTTTTTTTTTTTTTGGTTTTTCTCCGGTACCGGGAACCGAACTCACGACCTTGCGCTTGCCGGGCAGGCGCTTTTGCTGCTGAGCTAAATCCCCAGCCCCTTTCACATTTGTAATTATATTCTTCTGGATGCCCCTGCCCCACAAAAGGAGTCTCCAGGTGGCCTGGCTTGTGCCTCTCAGGGCACCCCAGGCCACTCAGGCTGTGGGGGGGGCTTGGCCACATGGGCCCCCCTGCCAATCACAGGGGCCATAGCTGTGTTGCTCCCCCTCAAGGGCTGGCTGTTCAGGAAGCCCTCCATCCGCACGGGGGCAGCGGTGGGCGGTCTTCACACTGGCCGGTTGGAGACAGGAACTGGGTTTCCCACCAGGAAGGCAAAACTAGATATAGAGGACTGACGGGCACTGCTGTGCCGGTCTTCATACTGGCGGTCTTCACGCGCCAGTGTAGAAGTGAGGTCTGGCGCTGCTGACACAGAGGCAGGGGGGTTCTGTGGCGATCCTCTAATGGGTGAGAGGTTTGGTGCAGACCCCTTAGGCGCTCACTTCTCCCTGGAGGTTAGCACAGGGAGGAGGACCCCTCAGCCCCCGTCCCACGGCCATGCTCATGAACTGGGCTGGCTGGGACCCACTCCCCCCACCTCCCCCACTAAGGGGTCCGCCTGGGTGGCAGGCAGTTCACTTCAGTGTCCCGTGTGAGCCCACCTGGGACGTGCCTGCCACCCCTACCCACATGCCGGCCGCCTGGCCCTCGTCCCCAGCTGGGGCCCAGATGTCCCAAGCCGCCGCCTCCCTGCGGGGTGGCCCATGAGTGGCCCCAAGCCACATCCACTGTCAGTGGTGTCTGGTGCTCTCTGTGCACCTGCTTCTCCCTGAAAGCCTGCAGTCACCACCACTGCACTTTCCACTTGAGGACCGGGATGCTAAATGCTGGCTGTGCTCTGAGGTTCGCTGCTATGCAGAGGCCACCGCTGGGCTTGCTGGGCTGGCATCCGCTCTGCACAGGGCTCTGTGACTTAAGAGGTCTGGCCAAAGGTTGACTACATCGTTTTCATACAAGTCCAGCTCACTAGTGCTGAGCAGTGGTGCTCCGCGTGGACCCCTGCCTGGGAGGCTGCTAGCTGGGCTCCCTCGCTGGCCTGTGGGCCTGGCAGGACAGAGCCACACCCTCCTGCATGGGCCTGGACAGGAGTGGGCAGAGCCGCTGTCCAGCCCTCCTCAGCCCCGCCCCCTGCGCAGGCTGCCCTAGTGGCTCTCACCTGTCAGATTCCTACTGCCACACCCAGGGATCCCGGACTGAGGGCGCTGTGTGGCCGGGGCTGGGGTCCACCCTTGGCCCTGCCCTTTGGGACTTGGGCCGGGAGGCAGGCGGGAGCTGGGCGCCCCCTTGGAGTACCCGTGGGGTGGGTACGGCCTGGCACGCACAGCCAGGGCCCAGGAGGAACCCTGCGCAGGGAGCACCCACACCTGGCTGTCCCACCGGCCCTTCCTGCTTTGCGCTCGCTCGAGCTCCTGTAGACGCGCCTGCCCCATGCGCCTCCGTCGGCACCCCAGCCCTTCGCCCTCCGGCGGCATGGAGCCTTTCCTCAGGAAGCGCCTGACGTTTCTGTCCTTCTTCTGGGACAAGATCTGGCCGGCGGAGGAGCCGAAGGACGACAGCCTGGTGCCGCCGGGCCC